TATGAGGAGTATTGGCATTAATTCTTCTTTGAAAGTCTGGTAAAATTCTGTACTAAACCCATCTGGTCCTCAGATATTTTTTGGTTGTGAGACTTTTAATGACTGCTTTTATTTCATTAGGGGTTATAGGTCTGTTTAAATTGTTTATCTTATCTTGATTTAATGTGGTAGGTGATAATATATTGAGAAAATTTTCCATTTCTTTTAGACTTTCCAATTTGGTGGAGTACAGGTTTTTTAAAGTATGTCCTTCTGATTCTGTGAATCTCCTTGGTATCTGGTGTTAGTTCCCATGTTAGTTTTTTATTTTTGTAATTTGTGAAAAGTTTGTCAATCTTTTGATTTTCCTAAGGAACCAACTCACCAACTGTTGGTTTCATTGATTCTTTGTATTTTTGTTGTTGTTGTTTGTTTCTATTGTATTGACTTTTGCTCTGAGTTTGATTATTTCTTGCCATCATTTCTTTTGGGTCTGTTTTCCTTTTTTTAATTGTTGTTGTTCTAGAGCTTTCAGGTGTGCTGTTAAGTTATTGGAATGACATCTCTCCAGTTTTTTTATGTAGGCACTTAGTGCTAGAATATTGCCTCTTAGAACTACCTTCATCGTATCCCATAAGTTTGATTATGTTGTGTTTTCACTTTCATTTAGTTTTGAAAAGTTTTTAATTTATTTTTAATTTCTCTCTTGACCCATTTTTTCATTCCATAGTGAGTTGTTCAGTTTCTGTGACTTTGTAAGTTTTTTGTTGCTGTTGATATCCAGCTTTAATCTGCTCTGTTCGCATAGGATGCAGGGTGTTATTTCAATTTTTTTTGAGTTGTTGTCCAAAGGAGTCCCATGGGAACCCCCAAACCCACCCAGCCAGTTGACTAGAGTATACGCTGCTCTCCACAAACTAAAGACAAGGCCCCACTGCTGAAGACAACACCTACACCACCCATTAAACATGGAAAAGTCAACATAGAGTCTGTGTGCCTACACAGACTTCACCCCCACATGCTAGCCTCGTTGGTACAGAAAGGTGCTCTGCATGCTACAAAAAGAGAAACACAAACACCAACACAGCCACAAAGTCTTTGATCTAGAGTGAGGTCTTGCCTGTGAGATATGCAAGGGCAATGGTGGCACAAACTTGTGTGAGTAACCAACGCACATTTAATTTGACTTAAGCCCCACTCTAGGAGAAAGAAACCATACCTGACAGTGCTTGGTGACCAAGAACCTGAGACTAAATAGCCAGGGACTTTGAGTAAAGCCAAATAACACTGTTCTAAAAACAAAAACAAACAATAAACATAGCAATCAAATTTCTCCTAAGGACGTTCTGCTATACTCAGTGCCTTCCTCAGCCATCACCAGAGAAGTTTCCTTTTGAAGCAGGTGGGAACAAATACAGAGATCCCCAGCCAGACATTATACAGAAAGTGAGAGACCTTGAGACACTCATCCCTAAATGGGATGTCGTCTCCATCAAGTCCGTCTCCTCAGGCCTCAGGGAGTCTTCCGGAAGAGGATGCAGGAAGAGTAAGAGTGAGAGGGGACACAGGACACTAAGAAAATAAACATTATTGACACATCTGAACTCACAGAGACTGTGACAGTGTGCACAGCGCCTGCCTGGGTCTGTACTAGTCTGTTTGTGTACATCATAGTTTCATTTTAGTGTTTCTATGGATTCCTGAGTGTGCAAACCTGTGTATCTCTCTTGGGCCTTCCTTAGGCTCCTTTCTTTCTGTTTGTTTGTTTTACCCAGTTCTAATGTGTTAGTGTTTGTTTTATCTTTATATTATTATATTATATTGCATTACATTATATTATATGCATTGTCCCTTAGATGCCTGTTTGTGTTCTATTGAGAGACAGAAAATAGGTGGATCTGGATGGGAGGGTAGGTGGACAGGATCTGGGAGTAGCAGAGGGAGGGAAAACTATAATCAAGATATATTATGATAGGAAAAAACTTTTCTTTTTTTGAAAGTATTTTTTTATTAAGAAAATTTTTCCATTCATGTTACACACCAATCAAAGATGTCCCTCTTCCCTCCTCCCATCTCCCCATCATCCCCCTCCTAACCCACCCCCACTCCTCCCTACAAGAAGACAAGGCTTCCCATGGGGAGGCACATCCAGTAGAAGCAAGTCCAAGCCCCTCCCCCTGCCTCAAGGCCACACGAGGTGTCCCATCATAGGTAGTGGGCTCCAAATAGCCTGCTCATGCACCAGGGATGGATTCTGATTCTACTGCCAGGGAGAGATGGTTCAGCTGTTAAAGCTTAGGCTCACAACCAAAAAAACTACTTTCAACAAAAGGAAAAAAATGTAAGTTGGTTTTTCAGTAAACGTTTGATGGCTTTTCGAATTTTCCTTCTAATCACTATTTTTATTCTCTTAGGAGACTTGGTAGAAGAAAGAGTAGACAGCCTTTATAGGAGAATTAGCTTCATATACAGTTCCTGAGTTGTCTATATGAAGAAGACAAACAGGTGTCTCTCACCACATTTCCAATTCCTTCATTTTCAGATTGCCATCTATTCAAATAACACATCCTGACTCTCAACACTAGTGAATTTTAAACAAAATTCATTCCTTTTTGCCTAATTTATTATTTGGAAATCTTTGAGCTATGTTAGAAATAATTATGAGCCTGTAAGAAATATTTTGTTGTTGAACAAATTAGAAGATTAACTTGTATTGGTTTAGTAAGAATAAAATAGGGTTGAATGTCAGATACTGCAAATTGCACACCCTTTAAGGGTTTCAAATTATCTTAGCCTAAAAGCTGAACAGAGATGAAAGTTGAATAATTGTTGCCAAGCAACTTGAAGAAAATAATGAAGTTCACAGTGATGTATAGCCAGTTCAGGCTGATACTCACATTGGAAAATCAAAAATGGAGCTCCACGAACAGTACCATTTTACATGTAAAATGTATGTCATAATGAACATGTAAGACAAGCTCGCTCAAATGCCATTTGATTTAAACATCAAACTAAAAGCACATCTAAATGAATTAGATTTAGACTAGTTGATATTTTATACCAATTTCTTATCCATTTATTTTATTTTTATTTAATTTTTCATGCAATTCATTCTGATCATGTTTTCTCCCTCCTTCCACTCCTCTCAGATACTTCCCACCTCCCTGTCCACCCAACTTCATATGCTCTTGCTCTCTCCATACAAACACACACACGCACACACACACAACAACAACAACAAAAATAACCAAAGAAAAGCAAACAAAACCAAATTTCTTTAGAGCAGAAAAGATGGGAGTTTGACCTTCAAGCTTAGCCTTGTGTCTTTTGGAGCCAAAGATATACCCCACATCATTTCATTGCTGCCCAGTCTCAGTTTTCCTACAGAGAAGGTGAGAATTTTGTTTTGTTCACTGACCCCATTGTAAGTTCTCAATAAATATATGTTTAATAAAATGTCTAAAATAGTGAATTGGAAAGGAATCATAGAAAATTGATTAATTTGGAAAGTCTCAAGTAGAAAAGTGGCTAAAGATGTCAAGAGAACTGTACAGGATGTCATTCTCAGGGTGATGGTCTTGGTCCTTGTTAATTTTGTCAACTTGGCATAAAGGGAGACACATCTGGGAAGAGAGACTCTGAGCTGAGGTGTTTATGGGGGCCCACAGAGACTCCTTAGTGTGGCCTTATTCCATGTTAACTCAAGGTCAGAAAGTCTGAGCTTGTTTTGCCCTGCAAGGCTGCATAATAGGATGTTTTGGCCAAAGGTGTGGTTACCAGGTGTCTTATACTTCAAGGCCTAATTACAGGATGCTTTGCCATAAGGCATGGCTACTAGACCTTTTGAGAATTAAGGAAGTATTTATGCTTTGCCGTAAGGCATGGCTATTAGGTGTTTTGAGAATTAAGGAGGTGTTTACCCTTGTCTGTACTTTGTACCTTGAACCATGGTGTCCTTGAGAGGGGGAGGTCTTTTGCCTCTCCCCTTGCTGGTGTATAAAAAGCCCATGAGGAATAAACTTGGAGCCACTGTAGTATTGACCCAGAGCCCTCCCGATGCTATTTTGTGTCTCTGTCTTTTTCTTTTATGCTGTCTACATCTCTATTCTTCATACCTATTATTACTTAATCCTCACTCCTCCCTTCAAGACTGTTCGACAGTCAGGCAGAACTCACCAGGTATTGCCTCTATCAGACTGTCTGAAGGCAAGTCTGTGGGGCATTTTTCTTGCTTTGTAATTGATGTGGGAGGTCTTAACTCACCATGAGCTGTGTCATGTGACCCCTGGCAGGTGGTTCTGGGTTGTATAAGAAAGCAAGGCACTAAGCAGCTTTCCTCTGTGGCTCCTGCCTCTGCTCTTGCTTGGCTTCCCTCAGTGACCAACTGTGATTGGAACACGTATGGAACATGCCTTTCATCCCCAAGTTGCTTTGGGTTGTGGTGTCTAAGACAGCAATGGAGAGCAAACTAGAACAGCAGCCAAGGAAGAACAAGTTTGTGAAGGTCTTAGTGGAGACAGGGTGGCACCCAGCAGAGACATTTGCTGTGCCGCTCCAGGTTACGCCTTCTCTGGCAAATGCATTGGCAGGTAGGCTTACAGAGGAAGTTGGGCCTGGGGATCCTGCTTGCTGGTGAGGCAGTCTTCAGACTGGAGTAGTAGTATGAAGTCTGCAGGGCTATGGCTGGTGGGGCCTCAGGAAATGAGTGGTTTGGAGTATAAGTTGTCTATATTCAGAGGACACAAGAAGCATGGGGGTTGGCAAGATGGCTCAGCCGGTGAGGGTACCTGCTGCCAAGCCTGGCAGCCTGAGTTCAAAAGCTGGGATCCACGTAGGGGAAGGAGAGAACTGGCTCCCTCAAGGTGTCCTCTGATCACGCCACAAATGCTGTGACATTTCTGCACCACCCCCAACTAAATATATATGGTTACAGAGTCAGTTATGGGGTGCAGATGGATAAAGGCTGGTAGCAGTTTCATACAAAAAGTGGGTTAGGATGTCACAAAGCCTGAGATACTCACTGTCCGTGTCAGCAGGGTTGTGGTCATTCATCCATGTCAGGCAACAGCTGTACGTTCCGCGTGTGCAGCCAGGGAAGAGAACATCCTAACATGTGCTCTTGGACACAATGCACCAGGAGAAAAAAGAAGTGAAATTGTAGCCCGAAGTTTCTCTGGTCCTGCCTGGCCCCACAGTCAGGATGAATCTCTCCCACCTGTATCCCACAGCCACTTGGTCCCAAGTAAACACACAGAGGCTTCTATTATTTACAACTGTATGGCTTATGGCTAAGAATTCTTGCTAGCTAACTCTTTCATCTTAGATTAACGCATTTTTATTCATCTATGTATTGCCACGTGGCTGCGGTAGTACTGGTCTGTTGGCATGTTCCTCCTTGGGCAGCAGGCTGGCGTCTCCTCCACCTCTGCCTTCTTCCTGTCTTTCTCTTGGATTTCCTGCCTGGCTATAACCTGACTTGCCATAGGCCAAAGCAGCTTCTTTATTAACCAATCATAGCAACACATATTCACAGTGTATAGAAAGACATCCTACAGCATGAAATAGTAGCACATAGGAATCAGAGAGGTAACCCTGCTTTGCAATGACCTTCCACCACTCTCCACAGAATGTCTAATAGTGTGCTTATTCCAAAACAGAAATGTTGAAGTCTCCATTACCATAGAAATGCTGATATTGGAGAGCAGTGGCCATATGCCAATATCCAGTGCACACAACTAACATCGATTGCTTATATCCCAGGCACTGGAATTCATCTAATTATTATACAGTTTCTACATCATTGTTATGTAGATTATTTTACGTAGATTACTTTAAAAAAAAAGATGTATTTATTATGTATACAGTATCTGTCTGCACACCAGAAAAGGGCACCAGATCTCATTACGGATCGTTGTAAGCCACCATGTGATTGCTGGGAATTGAACTCAGGACCGCTGGAAGAGCAGCCAGTGCTCTTAACCTCTGAGCCATCTCTCCAGCCCCTACATGGATTACTTAATATCATCTTCCTAAGATTTGTTCACTATAGATTTTTCTACCTTATAAATGAGCAGTGAAATACTTGTTATAAGTTAAATAGCTGGGATTCCACTTCTTTCGGTTTGTTATTCTATTATACTTTTTCCCAAATGAACAATGCAACTGGATTAGTAAAGATCATCAGTTGGTCAGTGCCTACTGCCTGTATCCTACCACGCAGCTTTGTAGACGCTTGCAGAACCCGTCCCTACTCAGAGGCTTCCATGTAGTTCATACACATCTCAGTATTCTCTTATGTACCTCTGCCTCAGTTCTACATGAAGTACTCCTTTCTGGTCATCTAAATAGTCATGCCTACAGATAGGAAAATCTGTACCAGAGTCTACTGTGTAGTGAGGCATGGAAGGCTAGTTAGCAAATGATAGATGATAACAATTCTTTCAAAAGAAGGAGATTATTAGATAATCTAAGGCCCTAAGGACCTGAGATCATAGAAATGGACCCTAAATCTGGACCAAAAAAAAGAGAGAGAGAAATACACTCATGTTACAAAGAATTATGTCCACTCTCTCCTGTTTTGTTCTTAGGATTCTGCCCACAGATCTCTTCTCACTCCACTCCCTTTGTATACTCCTCAAGCTCCTTTGGCTGATGTGACATGTATCTTCACTGTCCCCAGATCTCTGTCTCTAGGTCCAAAGTCTTTCCCATAAGCTCTACATCTGTGAATCTATCTGTCCATTGAACATCTACTGGAAGCTATCCCAAGCTCCAAAGACCACAGTTTAATACTCAGTCCATTCAAGAACTCTAACCTTGACCATCCTTGGGTGTTTGGACTTTTCTTCATGTGTTGGATGACCCAGATATCATTCCCAGATGATAAGTGTCATCTTTGAAAAGTACCCCTTTCTCTTTTCCATGTGAAACAAGTCCTTTCCCCTTCTTACCTTTATGCAGCCCTCCCCCATGTCCTGTGAATTCTCGTAGCTATTATTAATATGGTTTTCTATTATAGTTTCACCTGTTTTGTTCATGTTATTATCACATTTGTATTTCCTTTTTTATAAGATTCATTTATTTTTATTTATGTGTATGGGAGTTTTGCCTGCATGTATGCATATGCACCATGTGCATGTGGTGCCTGGGAGTCACCATAAGAGGGACTTGGACACCCCAGAACTGAAAATGATTACAGTTGTGAGCTGCCACTGTGCTGGAAACAGAACCCAGGTCCTCTGCAAGAAGAGCAGCCACCAGTCTATGCACGAATCATTCATATTTGGGCAGTCCTTTCCTGATTGCCACTGCTGTTGACCTCTCCAGTCTATTCTCTAAAGGGCAGTGGAGGTAATAAGTCTCAAATTTAAATTGGAATATGATTACTTCTCTGTTTTAAAAATCCTTCAATGTTATCTTATTTGGGGGGTAAATACAAACCCTTAATTGATACTGTAAATGCTCCATGATCCAGTCCATGCTTTTTATCACATAGAGTCCAGTCACAGGACAAAAACCAACAGAATTTAGCATGAAAAATAGTTGACAATTGGAAATTTGATAGAGAAAAAAAAAGGACCATGAGAGAGCACAGGGCCAGCAACTATAGGAAGCATCAGCTCAAGGGTGGAGGAACTAAATAGAAGGTGTTGAAATGACTAAATTTGTGAAGCTTATCAAGCCTGGCACAGATGAAATGCATCCCTCTGAGAAGGGCAAGGCATGGCTCACACAGCTATCACTTTGATAGACCATGATCGAACTGCTTTTGTAAGTGATAATAGAAAGTTTCCTTCAAACTTGCTACAAGAATGGGCTGCTACTTGTAGAACAAAGAAGTGAGACTGGGTGATGCTGATTGAGAGTAAGGGACAAACGATAACGGGAAGAGCCAGCCTCTTCCTCCTCCAACCAATAGCTTTCCTTCAGCACTCCTTGTTGCCAGAGCCTAGCAAAACCATTTGACAGGGCTGGGGGATATATCCAGGACTGCAATGCTGGCCTAGCGTGTGTGGGGTCTAGGTTCATTCCCCCAATACAGCAACCAAACCAAACAAAGTGAAACCTTCAAAATCGTTTGGCGATGCATAAATGTGATGTGAAGAAACCCAGCCTGAGAATGGAAAAGCAGTGTGGGGAAGGGAAGCTGAAGTCGAGCCAGAGTGATTGGCAGGGTCTCCCCTGTGCTTCCTCTTCATGTTCACATGTGCTTCTACATGCATGGCTGCTAAACACAACACATGTGACTTCATGTGCTCACCAAGACATGCAGCTCTGCCTTACACACACAAGCATGTGTTCATTCTTCTCTCAACATGAAAACCCCAAAGTCCCAACCACAAACGCACCAACATTTATAAGCAACCAAAGTATCTCTGTGCAATAATACTTACTATCAAAATCAGTCATAGTTCCAGCTCAATATTTAGTCATCTGAAGACCAAATTACAAATATCACTGACAAAATTTTCATGAAGTGAGAAAGATGGGAGGAAAATAAACATACAGAGAGATGCACACTCACTTAAAGAATGGGCAAAGAAGAATATATATATGTGTGTGTGTGTGTGTGTGTGTGTGTGTGTGTGTGTGTGTGTGTGTGTTCTTTCTTCTGTAACTACTTCTATAACAGGCTGCAAAGCAACAGTTTATAATCTCCTTCCTCTATTGATATCATGTTTTCTTTGTTGTCAGCTGTGACTTCACAGACTTCTTTAGACATCTGTAGCCACATAATTTGAGTGTTTAAATTCAGGAGACATTCTGTAGGCATCTGCACAATGAAGAGACTTTCTAGTCATTGCTTTACAGATTTTCTTTGGTTCAGAAGAAATTTGGCAGAATAATAGTAGAATGAAAGATTAGGAGTCTCTGTTTAAGACCTTTTATATTTCAGTGTACATATCTGTGCTTTATCCTTATAATCACCACTATTTATGCAAGTAAGTGCTGTCAGTTTCCTAATGGTTTAAGCTTGTCCATTCACCCTGTTTCTCCCATGATTATATGACGCCCCCTACATCCCTGTCTTCTCCCAGATGAGGCCACCTCCTTTCTCTTTACTTTTCACAAGGTTTTAGTGCACAAACACACATACTGGTCCATAAACACACTTCTGTTAATTTTTCCATTGGGTGTTGGAGCCTATACCCCTCTGAGGTGACATGCAGTGGCCAATAAGTCAGAGTAAAACCTTTTCACTTTGGCAGGGCGTAGGAAGCACTCCCCAACACTGGTTTTCCTGTCTCATCACTAGCATGTACATGTCAGCATCATAAACAAGTTTTAGGCAGCCCTTTAGGGCTTTTGGTTTTCAGGCAACAGCCTGCAAAAACAAATCTTATACCTTGTAGTCCCTAGGTGGTTAGCTTCAGCAGAGCGTTACATAGACAGGAAAGCCAAACTAAGATTGTAGAAACCCTTGCAACAATTGCTTCAATGTGAAAGAGCAAAAGTTCCAACTCTATTGATCAAGATTCTTTTATGGGGGGAGGGGGTTGTTTTTTTGATACAGGGTTTCTCTGTATTGCCCTCACTGTCCTGGGACTTGCTTTGAAACCAGGCTGGTCTTGAACTCAAAGATATCTTTCTGCCTCTGCCTCCCAAGTGCTGGGATTAAAGACATGCGCCACCACCACTGCCTGGCTTTGGTTAAGACTGTTAGCAGCAGGAAAAGAATCCCCTCTACAAAGTCAGGCAGTGTGTAACTTTTTGATTGGTTGGCCTCCAGAATCTACAACACCAAAAGCAAACATTTAAACCGTTCCATGTATCGCATCTTGCTGTAACAGAGCTGGCTATAAAGGGCAGGGCATGGGGGTGGGGAGTGGGAATCCTTTCCTGTGCTGGCTTGCTGATCACACCTATGAGGCTAGAGGCCAGATAGCAGAAAGACACTGAGATTATTCCAGAAAATCCAAAAACTTCTGCCATCCTGTCTACTAGAGGATTTGCTGGCTTTATCCACAAGCATGCCTCCTGGTGCTCACTTCAGCCTCCAGGTCTCCTGCTGGTGGATGTGGCTGGCAGAACCTAAGTGCAAGGGTCTTTGAACAAGCTTCCAGTTTGGCCTGTCATTCAAACTTACAAGACACAATAGGCTGACCCAAAACAATATGATAGTGGTTTTAAGATACAGAGCAGAAAATATCTAGAGCACCAGGGTCACAGAGACCTCAGATGCCTCTTCTGACATCCCCTGTCACATGCATTGGAGCATGCTCTGGTGTAACAAATAATGAGATGCTGAAGTGAGCATGGATCACACCAGCGGAAGAAAGCCTTAGGGTTTAAGATCTTTAAGCAAAAGCTTTGTTGACCAGTAAAGAGCATCTGGAAGGTGGGTCAAGTTCTTATTTTTTGGTGTAGCCACAGTTTATGAATTATGGGATATATAATAAATGATCTTGACAACCAGACACTTAGGCATACTTTTGGACTTTTAAATTTAACTACAGTTGCTCATTCAGGAAGTTTGGCTAATGATGTATTATGTTCCAGCATATATGAAACTGGAATGAGATGACAGTTCCTCTTACATATTAGCTCATATCCAGAAACTGAAGGAAGTTGAGAAACTGAGGGTGAGTTTGCTGGACATCAGTAGTTCAGGAAACCAAAGGAGGACGAGGTTAGAGTTATGCTGTGTGGATCTTAGTAGAACATGTACCAGATTGTCTAATATGTGAAAAGATGAAGTGAGGTGACCTAAATAATACCGGACATGGGAGCCTAGGGGTGGGTCTCAAGCATCTTCTGCCCTGGGATGCACTGCAGACAAATTACATGTTCACTGTGGTTTTCAGCATCTGCAAAAATCTGGTCTCAGCAGTTAGTCTAGGCATAGCATATACTTCCATCATTTGGGGTAACTCTACTCCGGGTGACTGCGCTTTGGTACGAGAAAGGTCACACCATGAGAGAGGCTGTACCTGCTGTCTTTGGATAGAAAACTCATGTCACAAACCTAGACATCTTTGACTTATTTT